TGAGAAGTTGTAAATTGTTTTGTCAAGCTTCCGATATTAGATTAACAACAAAGAAGAAGATATGAAGCAATTGATTGAGAATGCGCTAATGCCATATGTACTGGAGCAAACGTAGAGGGACAAGGATTGTCTGCCATCCCTTTTTCCATGCCTTCCTGTTTGTGAGGTCACGGTTAAGTCACGTCAACATTTTATATTACTATTCATTTTTGTCTTATTATTTTTATAAAATATATATATATAAAATGTTAACGTGGCTTTACCGTGACCACACAAAACGGCATGGAAGGGTATGAAAAATGGAAGGACAGACAATCCTTGTCCGATATAGAGAGATATTTGATTTGAAGCTGCAATATGCCAGCACATTCGTTAGCTAGACACGCCCTAATAACTTGTGCTGCATAATCATGTCAATCTTCCGAAGTTCTGGCCTTGTATCATTTCACGTGAAGGACCGGCTTCTCTGCCCTTCCACTCCTTATACACTCACATCCCCTCCTATTTTGTGCGATCACAGTTAAGTCACATTAACATTTTATATTAATTTTTATAAAGATAATAAGACAAAAAATAATAGTAATATAAAATATTAATGCAACTTAACCATGACAGTACAGATAAGAAGGGATGAGAATGTATAAGAAATGGAAGGGTAGAGAAGCCAGATCCTCACGTCAATCCATGGAAACCAGTTTTACTAATTAGAAAAGATGACTGCCCGTTTGTAACATCCACGTACTTTCAATTGTTTGGGGATACGTATTTTGACTGACATAAATAATAGCGCATATTACATTGATATTGTTGCATACTTTACCGTACATTCAATATTAGATTGGACATGCTCAATACACATCTAGGTGTAGGGTGTTCGTCAAAGAATCGTTGCACTATGGAGAGGGCAACCACATAATGTGCCCAGTCACGTCAATTTTTCTGAAGTACGACGGATAATCAAAGATTCCTTAAATCAGTTGCTATTTGGTACTGGATACGATCACGACACTCTTCATTAAGTGGTCACAAAGGAACATATTGTTGTACATACCCAATCTGAAAAATAAAAAGTCTCTACGATCACATCAGGAATGCAAGTGCTACCAATTTTAAGGAATAAGGTAGGATAAGTGTATAAGGCTTAGGCTTTGAAGTATATTGAGTTTCATGAAGAAAAAAATGTTTATTTAGGCTCAAAGGGGCTTACTAGTGAGTAAAATAATAGGACATTGGCAAAAAATGACAATGGTGATAAGTCCTAAGTGCCTTTATTATCTTTAAGGTATCACAGGAATTGAAAGAAGTTCATGAGGTTTAAAGCAAGTTCTAAAGATATATAGAGTTAAAGATACATAATTTTGCATTTTAATATGCCATGCCACAAGGTTGTTTTTATTTTATTTTAGAAGAAACGATAGTATTTCATTAACATAACCAAACACTTACAAGGATGTCAGACGGGTACATATACTTCAGTGATCAATTTCTTGATCTGAAGGTAATAAGCACAAATACAAATGATTTGAAAGACCCCTATACGGCCATCACACAAAACACACCACTGGAGCGAAGAGTTCCGAGATTGACATAGTAATGGCAAGAAAAAACAACAACGACATGGGTTGTAAAGGGGTTGCCAAGCCAATACCCCCCACGCCACTGAACCGCCATCCCCACCACGCCACTGAACCGCCATCCCCACCACCACCACGAACCCAAAGATGACATAGTGATAGATCTAAGGGCAAAGCCCTCGGATTTCCAAACAACCGAGAGAAAGACGCTGACAAATATGCACACCCACCCAACAGGAGACCAGAAGCCGCCACCGGGCAACTCCGTGAGCAAACCCCACCCATGAGTTACACGAAGCCGAAAAACAACACCCCTGGAGGCGAGACCGCCACCAACCATGAAAGAGGCCACTGCACAAATTTGGAGTCCTATCAACAAGTCCAAACAAGGCAGCGGAGCTGCACAGCGAGACCCCGACGACAAAGACCCAGATCTGGAACAACAGTGGACAGGCGCAGGAAGGCGGAGCGTCCAGGGGGCGGCACGGGGAAGGGGAGGGAGTGAAAACGCGAGGGGAAGGGGGCGGCGAAAGATGGTGGGAAAAGTCGAGTGTGGTGAGGGTTGGAGAATGGCTGAGATGGGGAAGAGGGGAAAGAGGAAGGGAGGAGGAGCTAAGGGAAAGAAAGGGAGAGGCTACCACCGGCCCCCAACCATAGCCAGAGGCCGGCGGTGATGGGGAAAAACTAGGGTTTGGTTGATGCCACAAGGTTGTTTGCCATATAAAAGCATATTCCTTAGGTGCGTCCAATCCGTATCTGAATAACCTGCAATTTCAATATTAATCAAATGAATAGTAAATTTCATAATTCACTGTCCCACGTACATATCTTATTATTCTTTTCACAACAGTGAGATGAGATTCTTTGTGACATAATTGAAATCTAGCACAAACGTCAATGCTAAAAGAGATAACAGAACGACTAGTTGTAGGTAGAGTAAAGTAAACTCCATATCATACTCCTGTATAGTGTAGGAGAGTCATCTTTTCCGGATGAGTCCTTGTGAAGTTTGGATGTTGTGCTCATGCGATTGTTGTCTGATGGTGCATTTTCCAATCCAACTTTGAAACTAACCTTTTTGCATTCTTAGATTGAGATAGAAACATCCCATCTTTTAATGGTTGAACCTGCAATCCAAGGAAGTAAGTTACTTCACCACTCATACTCATTTCAAATTTATTGTGCATAACTTTAGTAACTTCAGAAACTAAGGCATAAGAAGGTTGAAAAAAAAAAAAACAATATCATCCACACATTTTTGTGCAACCATTAGATCATTGTCTACATTTTAGACAAACAAAGTTTTAAACTCAGGAATCTCTTTCTGAAGTAAGTGCAGTGATTAACTTGTTTTGGTTTGATGGATTGGACCTTATACCATTTCTAACTTTTCAATCCTGTCCTTTTCATTAGATTTTTCATTTTTTCTTTCAAATCAAAAACTGTGATTTCTGAATTTTTTATAGAGGCTAAATAAAGCTCCTTGTATTCGCAATAACCTCATCAGCATTAAATCCTTGATCATCTGACTCTTCCGATTTATTAGAATTAGTGAATGCAACAGCTTCTTTTTCCGAATCAGTGTCATCGTCAGACTCGCTGTCACTGCAAGTGTCATTCATAACTTTCTTCTTCTCATATTTAAGCCCTTCAAGAGTGTTTGCAGAATTTTTTGCGTCACGACCATAACCTCAACATTTGTAGCACTTTTTCGTATCTTGTTGATTTGCAAATTTTAAAGTCTTATCAACATTAAGCTTTTCAGGTTTGGATTGGTTAGCTCCTGATCCAACGTTCTTACCATTATAGTTTTTAGTCTTCAAAAAGTTCAAAAATTGACGAGTGAGGAGCAAACTGCTCATCATCCAATTCCTCAACTCCCCTCGTTTTCATTTTTTACAGCTTTTAAGGCCATATTCTTACTCTTCTTGACATCAAGAAACTCTATTTCATAGGTTTCATAGGTTTGCAAAGCACCATTTAAATCTGCAATTTTTGGCTGAAACCTAGTCGGCAAAGACCTAAAGACTTTCTTTACAACTCTAGCTTTAGGAATACTCTCACCCGAGTTAGCAAATGGTACTTAATTTTCATAAAATTCTGCATAAGTTTCATTCTCACTCACCTTAATAGTTTCAAATGGAGTTGTGAGCATTTGCAATTTTTAACACTTCTACCGTGTCATATCTCTTATGAATGACCTGTAATGTCACATCCCGGCCCGGGGTGGATTATTTTCCGGGTCCGCTCCACCACCGTAGCACGATATTATCCGCTTTGGGCCCCAACCACGCCCTCACGGTTTTGTTTCTGGGAACTCACGAGCAACTTCCTAGTGGGTCACCCATCCTGGAAGTACTCTAGCCCCCTTTTCGCTTAACTTCGGAGTTCCTACGGAACCCGAAGCCAGTGAGCTCCCAAAAGGCCTCGTGCTAGATAGGGATGTGAATACACATTTAAGGATCACTCTCCTGGGCGATGTGGAATGTTACAATCCACCCCCTTAGGGGCCCAACGTCCTCGTCGGCACACCACGGCCAAGGTTAGGCTCTGATACCAATTGTCACATCCCAGCCCGGGGTGGATCACTTCCCGGGCCCGCTCCAACACCGTAGCACGATATTGTCCGCTTTGGGCCCCAACCACGTCCTCACGGTTTTGTTTCTGAGAACTCGAGAGCAACTTCCCAGTGGGTCACCCATCCTGGGAGTACTCTAGCCCCCTTCTCGCTTAACTTCGGAGTTCCTACGAAACCCGAAACCAGTGAGCTCCCAAAAGTCCTCGTGCTAAGTAGAGATGGGAATACACATTTAAGGATCACTCCCTGAGCGATGTGGGATGTTACATGTAAGATATCCCAAGCCTCCTTGGAAGTCTCAACCTTGAGATACAATTGAATTGATCAGCATACGAAGCAGTGAATAGGATCTTCAATCCTGTTTTATTGCTTATGCAATTAGTTTTCTTATCAAGAGACGACTCGCAGTTTTAGGAACAACACTTCACTTATGATAACTTCTGCTTCACTTGCACCATCTTCTGTTTTCTTTTTCCTTTTATTTTCCACAGCTTTCACAGGTGCAGTGTAGCCATGAACCACAGAAAACCCTGTAATTTAGTGCCCCGCGTAAATTCTTCGTTTTGGGTTTCCATGCTACATAATTTTCATCATTAAAAAATGGTGGATATGTGGCTGACCTAGACGCAAGATCCATCATGAACCCCTATAGGATCTCTCTAAGTGTGTCCAGAGATGGTTCTAGTATCAATTAAAATCGCAGATGGATCGTGAAAATCATATCAAAATCCAACCAAACAGATAAAATACGTGGGATTGAAACGCAGTTCGAATCCTGCGACACAACAAAAATAAAGATAAAAATCATACAGAAAAGAGAATTTATGAGGGAAACACTCTTCAGCAAATGAATATAAAAAACGAGCACACACATTCCACTAAGAAAACAAGACTTCACAAGACTCAATTTGATAAGACACCACAATCAAAGCTACACCAAATCCTATTGTCTTGCAATACTCCATCGTGCTTTATTTTCTCTTGAATGAACGTCACGTACAGAAGATCCTCCTCACGAACAAGGAGATGCACACAGCTTGACGAAGGAATGAGATGGATGATAAATCTCTTAAAAACTTGCAATCGCACAATTTCTAACAAAACAAGTACAAGGAAACACAAATATATGTGCACTTGAACTTCATTTCATTTCCTAATACAGTTTTTATTTCCGTCGAATAACAAGCGAACGTTACATGATATCATGTCATCGTGCACCGGCTGCACTCACTCATTTACTGGTCTTATCATCTTTGGATTCTTTGGCACCACCAGAGATGGCATCCTTTGCTGATTGAATGCTGTTTGCCACTGCAGCAGCTGCACCTGCAAAAGGGTGAACACCCTCACTCTTTGCTCCGCCGTCTCGAATCTCATGAACCACTTCAACGTCCTCCTTCTTGGCTTCTTTGTCTTCTCCCGCCGGTGATCGATAATCCACCGTCTCCACCCTGATTTCCTCTTTTGTTTTTGCCATTGATCCCTACAAAATTTAACCCAATTAATTAAAAAATCAGACGTAGAATTACTACGCTAACCAAACATATAGCACAAATAAAATGATGGATGAAATTCCTACCTTCGAAGCATCCATATTTTGCAAAATTCAACTCGGACAATTCTCAAACTTCCACCTACAGATTATATGAAATTAATTGGCTAATGCACCTAGATATATAGTTTACTTCGTCGAGTTGAAGGCGTACCAGCGCCTGACACGTATCTTGTGAGCTGCCCGATTCGTGTCCACGTATCTCTGTGTAGCAGGTCAGCACATATTTCTTTTGCTTTTTTTATTTTGTAATGGACTGATGTCGGTAAGCAAGACATTGTGACGGAGGTTAAAGTCACAAGAGATTTTTTGAAAGCATTACCAAATTACCAATGGGCCAATGGAAATCTCGCACCTGCTATAATTTGGATACGATAACACAACTTTTAAAAGCTACCGGCCATCTAGTTTAGAGATAAGGATTGTCTGCCTTTTTATTTTTGGTGTTCTTTTGGGTTCTTCTGTTTTGTATGATCACGTTAAATCACGTTAATATTTTATATTTTTTTATAGAGATAATAAGACAAAAATAAATAATAATATAAAATATTAACATGACTTAACCGTGATTACATAAATAAAAGGCACGGAAGGACATCAGAAATGGAGCCAAACAATCCTTGTCCCTAGTTTAGTTCCCTCATCTGCACCAGGGAGGGAAGGGATTGGGGATGACTCGTAGGTACCGTGGATTCTTCTGCCGACATCAACCTACTTTTTAGATAATTATCTTAATACAACTACTTAATCAAATTATCCTAAAACATGTAAAAGCTTCATCACATGTATGCCAATCTTGGAACTAGTGTTTTGGCATATGCTTATAGAAATTATTTTTGAAACGTTTATAGATACTAAACCAAATAGATCTACTAAAATGTCTTCACTCTTTCCTTAAAAACTCACGGAAATATCTTCACAACATTAGTATATTGTGGAAACTAGCTCGTGATTAAGGATTCAACCAACAATTTGACATCCTATAAATTTGATGCAAGATAATAAAATATAAAATCATCATACCTCACGTGGAGTTTCATACAGTCGATTTGATGTTCAGCTTCAGACAATCGATTTCATCTTCCATTTTTTTTCGCTAAAATGTTGTAATCTTTGTGTACATAGTTGTAAAGATTTATTTTGTTATACAAAAGCAATGAGTATGTGCGGTCAGAATAATTTTAAATTTTAAAATTTAAAATTAAATATAAATAATATTTAATGAAAATTGACCGCACTATGATGAATGATCATGAAAGCTAGGACCATTAGGAAAAAGATCCGGCGATTATCCTTTTCCATATCTAATGGCCTCACTTATTTGGTGATCCTTGGCTGACTCGAGGGTATGTGCAACTGCAGCAGTTGCATCAAGATCAACAAAGTCACTACCTCCTCCTGCAGCTCCCTTATTTCCACCATCTCGAATCTCATGAACCACCTCAACCTTCTCCTTCTTGGGCTGTTTATCTTCCCCTGCCGGAGACCGATAATCTACTGTGTCCACCTTGATTTCCACTGCTCCTTGCTCGTTTATTTCTTCAGTTCCCTACCAAAAAAACTATTCAAAACAGAACGCAGAGTTAATAGATAATCCAAATAATTGTTACTTTAAAAAATTCAAACAAATATTAAACATATGGTATAAAATTAAGAAAACGATGAATGCATGCGTTTGAAATATTCATGTTGCGAAACTGAACTTAGTCTGAAACTTGCACCTCCAAACATAACATGATCAGCTGGCCAAGTCGTAGATGATAGATATAGTTTTCGTCGCGGTCAAGCCATAGTGTGGAAAGAAGGGGGCACCAGGGACCGGCACGTGTCATGTGAGCTGTCCGCTTTGCGTCCACATATCCCATGATAAAGAGTACCTACTTAGAATAAGTTCATGGTCATGTGATATTCTTGTCTAATTAATAATATTAGGTCGTTATAATTTTTTCACATAAAAATATAATATTAATAAAAATACTATGCGATAATGAACTCGTTTTATATAGATTATAAAAAATTAGGTATTTTTATCGTTTTAATCATCATTTAATAGGTTTTTTTTCACAAAAAAAAAAAATCTATATAATTAACTGTAGATAAACTCATGAACCATTTCTATCGATTTTAAATCTTAAGAATTAAAATGAAAAACTATGTCAATTTCAAAGATAGTTAAAAAGGAAAACTAATGAAAATGGTTTGAAAACTTTGAGTTTTAACGACAGGGACAAAACAAAGGGTAAAATGAATAGTACCATGATTGATTTTTTAGTATAAAAATATGATTTTTCGTTAAAATAAATGGTACCTTGAGCTTTTCGTTAAAATTCCTAGTTAAAAAGCCGTCCATCATCGTTCCTCGTCATTTATATTCCTAGTCTTGCTTGATGAACATACGTTGTCAGAAGCCAGAGACTTCGCACTATCCATAATACACAGAATTGTTAGGCCTCATTCGGATTGAATTTAATTGGGTATTTGGATATATGGGTTGAGTTCTTTTCGCTTTTAGAGGCAGCCCATGATCAAAGCAGGAAGAGGGATAATTTTGGGTAAATTACACAGTAATCTCTCAGGTTTTAAGGTTTATTACAACTCTATACAATAACTTTAAAACATTTCACTTTCATACCTCAAGTACTATTTTATTTCAATATAATACATTCGTTAAATTTTCCATCCATTAATCTGTTAAATGCTAACGTGGCTGTCACATTTGTACCACGTGGCTGCCAAATGTTTGACATGTGGCAAAAAAATTAATTTTTTTTTCTTTTCTTCCTCCTTCTTTTTCTTCTTCTTTGTCGCGGGGGTTGGGGGGGGGGGGTGTGGGGGTTAGGGATAAATTTTTTTTTTCTTTTCTTCTTCTTTGTTACTGGGGTTGGGGGGATTTGGGACAAAATTTTGTTTTTTTTTCTTTCCTCCCCTCTTCCTCTTCTTCTTCTTTCCTCTTCTTCTTTTTCTCTTCTTTGTCGCTGGGGTTTTGGGGGGGGGGGGGGGAGTTAGGGACAAATTTTAAATTTTTTTTCTTTTCTTCCTCCCTCTTCTTCTTCTTTTTGGGTCGTTGGGTTGGGGGGGGTCGCTGGGTTTTTGGGGGGGGGGGGGAGTTAGGGACAAATTTTAAATTTTTTTTTCTTTTCTTCCTCCCTCTTCTTCTTCTTTTGGGTCGTTGGGTTTGGGGGGGGGGGAAGGGACAAATTTTTTTTGTTTTTATTCTTTTCTTCCTCCCTCCTCTTCTTCTTCTTTTCTTTTGTGTCGATGGGGTTGGGGAGGGGGGTTAGGGACAAATTTTTTTTTTCTTTTCCTCCTCCCTCTTCTTCTTCTTCTTCTGGGTCGCTGGGTGGAGGGGGGGGAGGGGAGGGACAAATATTTTTTTTCTTTCTTTTCTTCCTCCCTCTTCTTCTTCTGGTCGCTGGGTGGGGGGGGAGGGACAAAATATTTTTTTCTTTCTTTTCTTCCTCCCTCTTCTTCTTCTTCTTCTTCTTCTTCTAGGTCGCTGGGGGGAGGGGGAGGGCAATTTATTTTTTCTTTTTCTTTCGTCCTCCCTATTCTTCTTCTTCTTGCAGATCTGGGTTTTTTTTTTGGAAAATTCAGGTTTTTTAAAAAAATTTAAAAAATATTTTATTTGCCACGTGACAGACATTTGGCAGCCACGTCAGCATTTAACGGATTAATGGATGAAAAATCTAACGGATGCATTATATTGAAATAAAATAGTATTTGAGGTATGAAAGTGAAATGTTTTAAAGTTGTTGTATGAGGTTGAAATGAACCCCAAACCTGAGGTATGAAAGTGTAATTTACCCTATAATTTTTTACCAAATTACCATACCAATCGTACCATTTTAAAGTTGTGCAAAAAATTTGTACCATTGGTAATGGTACGATATTTGTACCGTATTATATATTTTTGGACAAATTTTTTTTTTCTTTTCTTCCTCCTTCTTCTTCCTCTTCTTCTCTTCTTCTCTTTCTTCTCTTCTCCCTCTTATCTTCTTCTTTATCGCTGGGGTTGGGGGGGGGGGGGGTTTTAGGGACAAATTTTTTTTTTTCTTTTCTTCCTCCCTCTTCTTCTTCTTCTTCTTCTTCTTCCTCTTCTTCTTCTTCTTCCTCTTCTTCTTCTTCTTCTTTATCGCTGGGGTTGGGGGGGGGGTTTAGGGACAAATTTTTTTTTTCTTTTCTTCCTCCCTCTTCTTCGTCTTCTTCTTCCTCTTCTTCTTCTTTTCTTTTGTGTCGCTGGGGTTGGGGAGGGGGGTTAGGGACAAATTTTTTTTTTCTTTTTCTTTCTTCCTCCCTATTCTTCTTCTTCTTGCAGATCTGGGTTTTTTTTTTTTTTTTTGAGAAAATTCAGGTTTTAAAAAAAAATTAAATTTTTTTTTGTCACGTGGTAGACATTTGGCAGCCACGTCAGCATTTAATGGATTAATGGATGAAAAATTTAACGGATGTATTATATTAAAATAAAATAGTACTTGAGATATGAAAGTGAAATGTTTTAAAGTTGTTGTATGAGGTTGAAATGGACTCCAAACCTGAGGTATGAAAATGTAATTTACCTTATAATTTTTTGCCAAATTACCATACCAATAGTACCATATTAAAGTTGTGCAAATTTTTTTTTTCTTTTCTTCCTCCCTCTTCTTCTTCTTCTTTTCTTTTGTGTCGCTGGGGTTGGGGGAGGGGGTTAGGGACAACTTTTTTTTTTCTTTTCTTCCTCTCTCTTCTTCTTCTTCTGGGTCGCTGGGCGGGGGGGGGGGGGGACAAATTTTTTTTTCTTTTCTTTTCTTCCTCCTCTTCTTCTTCTTTTGGGTCGTTGGGGGGGGGGGTGAGGGCAATTTTTTTTTTTCTTTTTCTTTCTTCCTCCCTATTCTTCTTCTTCTTGCAGATCTGGGTTTTTTTTTTTTTTTTGTTGAGAAAATTCAGGTTTAAAAAAGAAATTAAAAAAATATTTTATTTGCCATGTGGCAGACATTTGGCAGCCACGTGGTACAAATGTGGCAACCACGTTAGCATTTAACGGATTAATGGATGGAAAATCTAACGGATGTATTATATTGAAATAAAATAGTACTTGAGGTATGAAAGTGAAATGTTTTAAAGTTGTTGTATGAGGTTGAAATGGACCCCAAACCTGAGGTATGAAAGTGTAATTTACCCTATAATTTTTTGCCAAATTACCATACCAATCGTACCATATTAAAGTTGTGCAAAAAAATTTATACCATTGGTAATGGTACGATATTGTACCGTATTATATATTTTTGGTACAGTAATAGTATTCAAAATCATTACCAATAGTATACCGTACTGTACCATTATTATTAATATTATATCATTTATTTATTCATTTATATATAATTAGGTATTATTATTATCATTATATATGCACTTTATATTTTTTTTCTAGTCATTTATCCAAAATCATCATCTCATCATCTCACCATTTAACCTCTACTTTTCCAATAAAAAGACCTAAGCCTTCTTGCCTTTGCGAATTCATATTTTCACTCATTTTGCCATCGACTTCATCTCTGTTGCTCCCATTCCGGCGACTCTCTCTCTCCAGTATTTAGGAATCTTTGTACTTTTTTTTTTAGGAATGCTGAGTTCTTTCAGCAATTCTTTCATCTATTTACTTCTTTTTTTCTTGAATTAATCTCTATAAAATTCTCGTAATTAAATAAAAAAAGTTTTAGAAACCCAAAAGGAGTGGCCAAAACACGCTTGGGCCTTGAATTGGGTTGGAAAAAAAACCAAATTTTGGCCCAAAACAAAGTGGTAATTGTCATTACTTTACCATGGCAACAAAACTATTTGGCATGCCGAAATTCGTTATACCAAAAGTTTGTCACGGTAATAGTAATAGATTTTGCCATACCAAAAATTTAGTATGGTATGTACATGGGTTTTGGTACGGTAATCGTACCAATACCACCCCTACTTACATAGGCACCCAATTGACTCGGTTTAATGAGGGGAGTTTTAACGAAACACTCTCGATATTGTTCATTTTTAATGAAAAACCACATTTTTACCTTTTTCTGATACTATTCATTACATTTTTATTTGTCATTTTTCATTAAAACTAAAATTTTTTGAACTTTTCATTAGTTTTCCTTTTAATGAATTGTTGGGCCTTTTGGATTTGACTTCTTCATACTTTTTCATCTCAGTTGATGAATTCGTACCATTTGATAAGCGCATTAGAGCATCTCTAACAAAAATTCTATTTTTTTTAACTAATAAATGAACAATATAAAAAATTATTATTTAGCTACTCAGTTGACCTTTTCACCTCTAACAACAAATTATTTTAACAACATGAACAGTTGCACTCTAAATTTAAAGAGTGATTGTTCATTTGCTATAAGAGAGACTATTTTACAACATGAATTTTTTGAATATGACTATTTAATAGAATATTTTTTTAACAAGTTTAAAATAGAGTATTAGTTGTTTTACAGCATCTCTTGGAGATGCTCTTTTAGCTATTATTTACCATGCTAATGCTTGAAGCACAAGGATCATAAAACGAAATTAATTAGCATAGATGAAACAATTTTTATGGTCAGTTACTACTTATTGCATGCGCTACAAAAATAATATGTATATCATTAGTGGCGGAGCCAAAAATGCATTACATGTATAATTAGAAAAAAGTAGTTACAAGTATAATTAATTGGAGAACAATCTAAGGTTTTTTGTTATTGCTTTGTATGGTCATGAAAATTTTAATCAAACAAGAATGATGAAGCTTTAAAATTTGTATGAAAAAAATTAGTATTGAGTTCATTATATCATAAGAACAGAGCTTGTTTACGAGCTTTAATAATAAAAATGATTAACATATTAGATTTGAACAAAAAATTAAAGTCATGGTTGGCTCAAAACTGTTACTATGAGATTTTTCTTTCAACGTAATTAGATCTTCCTCTAAATTGTATAGATGTTGTTTTATATGAATTGACAAAAAAAAAAAAGGAATTAGTTTAAAAAAATCAAAAGGTTATTGGCATCAGAAGGCTTATATGATAAAACAGAAGGCTAGTTATAAAACTTGATGGTAAAAGAATCAGAAAATTGTTTGCATAAAAAAGTCTCAAACCCATGGCTCGTTGGAAACTTTAAACTCTACTCCACCAATGGACCATATACTCCTTATTGAATATACCAGGAAACAACAAGTCTAAATGGGTGAAATTCCAAAATAGGTCCTGACATATTCTAGCCTCCATGTAGCTCCGCCCCTGTATATCATAGTACAAAGTCAATCATAAGATAGTAGCCTGGCCATTACCCTAATAAATACAAACATTTCAATTTGTAAACACTATGAATCAAGCAACAAGTTAGCTAGCTCGTGGTGAGAAATTTCAGTAGCAAATAAAGTACAAAATGGAAAACATAATTAGGGTATGTTGCAGGAGCATTACTTATGGCGCTGGGCAGGAACTGAAGATACGCATCAGCCAACATTTTCCCAAGTTCAACCTGGGCAGGGGTAGTGAGGTGTAAGCCATCAGGCTCCAGTGGCAGACCTTTGGCGTCGACGGTTCTCACGTTTAGAAGGTCGACTCCCAGCTGGGCTTCTCTAACTATCTCTATCAGTGTTGCTTCATACCCAGATGCTAGAGCCACCTATATGACCAACACACATCCCACACTGTTATTTCTAGAGTTGCAGACACACCATTATCAACCAACTAATTAGTCCATCACTAATTTATATAAAGTCATAAGCTATCTGACCGGAAATTCTCTTTGCAAGACGTCCGTTGTTTTAAGAACATTTGAAGTTAAACGCGTTCGTAACATTAAAATTTGAACGTCTTCAGAATAGGCCTTATGGCATTTCAGTTGATTACCAAACGACATTATTTTATTAGTTTTGTTTTCATATAATATATACATACATACATGCATCCTAGGGAAGGACCTCGAAGCATGCACATTGTGATAAATCCAATCTTTGAAAATGAAATGAAACAATTTGCCCATCAATTCAATTATGTCTCTTCATTTCAACTCTAAGCTTAGATGTGAATTCCCTTTATTAATTTTTTTAACCAGTTCAATTGGATATAATTCATATCACACTAAGAAATACGAAGTTGCACTAGGTTTACCTAGGAATCGATCGAACTTGTAATTAAATTAGTTAACAGTGATACCGACTTCAACAACTTACATTTTAAAAATATCTAAACCTAGCTAACAACGTGACATCATAAAGAAATTAGGAAAACCTGCCGTTTCTAAATTTGGATTAACGAGATCAGGGAATAAATGGAAGCTAAGGCAAGAAGCTGAAAATCTAAAAGAGCAAAACCAAGTATTAATGTGAGTTGCGCGAGTTGCCGGTGTGTTCGTACTCTTACATTCGAATGCCACACCAGAATTTTATCGTTTGTATAGACAAAAACTGAGTACTTAATTAACAATACTAAGTAATCGTACCTGGATTACTGGGAGATCAGGAGATTGCAGATCCAAACGTACATCCCCCAAAAAAGTTACCAATCTGTTTTTATAAGACAGAGCGTCTTCTCTACTAGCTGTATCGCTCTCGCCCTGATACCACAGAAGTGCTCTGATCGAACCACCATTCTGCAACGAAGCCTTGGCCCTCCTGATCATCTGGTTGTACAGAAAGGAGCCACGTCTCCACTGGGTTATGTTAGTACCGCCGATCGCACAGGGGACTAACCCAATCCGACCAACGGTACTAGAGTGATTGGCCAATACCGCATTGGCAAACGCCATGCCGGGTCCAATCCCATTGGTCTTCTCCACGTCAATGTCGGCATGGAGAGGCTCGCTTGCTTTAACCCACGTGAGATTCACATTGAGCCGGAAGACTGATGGGTTGGGTTGGCACTCTGGCGGCACAACACCGTCCCAGGTGGCAATGCCTGTGGTGGTGTCGTTAACCACGCCACCTCGACCCGCCATGTTACTCTGTCCGGCCAGGACGAATATGCTTTTGAGATGTTGATCTGTTTTTTTGTTTGGTTGTTGGGTAGTTGGAGATGCTGAGCAGGCTTGAGCCACAAGAGACAAGACCAACACGAAAAGCAGCATTGTGGGACAGGAAACTGTGGCTTCTTTCTCTCAAGCTTGAAGGCATTTTGAAAGCAGAGAGTCTTGCATTTTTAATATTTTTATGTCCAGTGATTATTCAGTTGAGGCAGGAATCTTACTCCACACTCATATTTGACATTCAGTCGCATAATCAATTGCAATTTAAAAAGTGCAGATCAAAATTTTAAATTAAATTTTGTAAACTAAATTATGTAGTTGTTGGTTATTGAATTATTATTGAAGTGTTGGTTAACGTATTTATTGTATTGTATAAATATCACCTCCTTATAAGAAGAATAGAAGTATTATTCTCCAAATCGACTAGCACCAACGCCTGTTTAATAAAAATAAATTAAATTTCAAAACCCTAATCCTATGTCGTGTTGCTCTGTTTGAGCGACCAGCCCAAAAAACGCAAAAAACAGCCGTTGCTTGATTCCTCTTGTCTTCGATCCTCTGCTTTGACTGAGCAGGTCTACTCGATTCGATCTCCAGGAATCGATTGTTTACCGCTCCAATGGTAGAGAAGTCCAACACCGATACCACCGAAATCCAGTCTTTCGTTGCCTCGGTTGTTGTTCTGTCAAACAACTCAATTTTAATATTAGAGTGTTGCAAGATGAACACAACTATGACCTATGAGCACTTCTCATTGAGATGCATATAGTCGGAAGTAGGGATAGGCAAAATACACATGAGTTTGATGGGTTTGGATAACGACGGTTACCCGTCTATTTAAAGTTCATGATTATGGTTATGGGTAATCTTTTAGACGAACAAACGGTTATGGGTATAACTGTTTATCCTTGAAATTTAAATGAGCGGTTATAGGTATTAACCGTAGTTATAACGGATATCAATCGGTTATCGGTATTACCCGCGGTTATATTATGTATCCATTTACCCATTTACTTTAATAGGCCTAATCGGATAAATAGTTCCCGTGGTCATACGGTATGCGGAAGGTAGCCCCTATGGTAAAAAGATTCAGATTTAAACCCTTGTGGTCTAAGTCTGTTAGGATTTATACCTAAAATTGAAACTTCCGTCATTCCTATGTTAGTATCATGCATGTGAGTGTCACATGTGAGGATAAGATGGTCATTTCATCCCCCATTTCATCCATTCCATCTTGATTGATGCTGCTACTCCTTCTTCAAAGGTAACCGACAAGCGATGGAATATGGAATCCAAAAAAGCAATAAGATTTGTTCTACTGCTATTAAACAACTAATTGGGTTTTTACCTTCTAGTTTGCTTTGTTTGTTTCCTTTTTGTTGCCTTCTTCTCTTTCAAAACCCTACACATAAACCCCTATATATACCACTAAGAAGGAGACCGACTAGAAAAAAGAAAAAACTTTCAAGCATAATAAGGAGGAGACCGACTGGAAAAAAAAGAAACCGACTGAAAAAAGGAAAAGCCTTTGAAGCATAATAAGGAGGAGACCGACTGGAAAAAAGAAAAAAACTTTCAAGCATAAAACTGCACATGGTGGATATGATTACGAACAAACCATTTTCAAAATAGAACAATCACCTAAAGTTATCAAGATTGCAGCAATACCTGAGTATGTTGGTGCGCCGTCTCCCTCAATTCTTCGCTTAGCCATCGATGTGGCTTTTCAAACAGGAACCAAACCTTTGATTTCAATAAAAGAATTTTGTTCGTGCTTTAGAATTGGGAACGTCATGAGGGTTTTAGCTAAGCTATTGGCATGCTACTCACTATGAAATGACCATCTTATTCTCACATATGAGACTCACATGCATGCTACTAACGGAGGAATGACAGAAGTTTTAATATTGGATATAAATCCTAACAGACTTAGACCACAGGGGTTTAAATCATAATTTTTTTACCATAGGGGCTATGTTTCGAATACTTTATGACCACGGTGACCATTTATCCGATTAGGCCTAATTTAATATATGTAAAATTTTAAAAAAAATTAAAAACCCTAAATTTTCAATCTTTCCGCCAGACTCAGAGTCTCAAATGCCTCGTCCCTTGCTGCCCTTTCCTCTCTCCAGATCTCACTCTCTATCTCAACAGCAAGCCAAGCAGAGGACTTCAGCAGGGATTCCGAGTGGACCAGCACAGCTGATCAGAGCCCAGGTGAACACGGGTTTGTCTATGTCGTGTTTAGTTATTTTATTATTGCTTGATGCGGTGCGTTTTGATTCCCTGCCTGAAACGTGCAAACCCCATGAATATCATCAACTTGCTTTGATCAATTGCTTGTTTCCTCCTTAATTTAATTACATTTGAGTCAGTAAAGTTTAAGTATTTCAAGTGAGAATTTTCATAATTTGTGTATTTGTCAATGTTTAATGTTTAAGATACATTACTGCATGCTGGCATGAGTCAGTAGATGAGCTAGAATTTTATGTGAGAAGGGGCCTCATAACATGAAAAGTTGTAGTATATTGCACATTTGGAAAACCAATCAAATTTAGTACAAAAAACTAAAAACATTGTACAAACTCAAACACTTGAATACGAGTAAGAGTTAAGCATGAAAGATTTGAAAATATAACAAAAGGACTAAAGAAATGACAAAGAAAAGTTGATAGCAAAAGGAGGGGAAATGAAGTCTGCACTGAAATAAGAGTGATGGAGTGAAAAACGGGGCATGTAAAAGGAAAAGAGAGTTTAGATTAAAAAGGGGCACACTTGAATTTAATAGTATTCCACTGATAAACAGCAGCAACAACAATATGTTATTGTATCAAGAAAAAAGGCAGGATGGGCTCATGACTATTCTGGTCCCTTTGTAGCTCCGCCTATGGCATGAGTGTAACCACATTGACTAGAATGGATGTGCTCCCTTGTTGCACCTGGAAGCAAACTTGTTTAATGTCAGAAAACGAAAATTATGACAAATTTTTCTTTTGTAATTTTCAAGTTGTTAAAAAAAAAAAAAAAACATGTAGACGGGTGAAAAAATGGGAAAATAGACAAAAAAACAAATTGATAAACGGGTTCAAAAACGGGTAAACGGGTATGATTATGGTTAAATGGGTAAACGGTTATGGTTAAATAGGTACACGGTTTTAAATGGGTACATGGTTATGGGTATGGTTAACTGTTTATAAACGGTTATGGGTATGAGTATAACTGTTTATGCAATTACTCAACAGGTAAACGGTTATGCGGAACAGTTATGGGTAAATAACCACGGTTAACCTCCCGCCATAACAGTTGTCCATCCCTAATCGGAAGAAAGAAGTTGGGATATTTTTGTGGCTCAAGTAAGGCTTCAGCCGAAGACAATCCTATGTACGATGATTGGTACTCTGAGGACTAGAAAGTCAAGAACTGGCTTCTATCCTACATGAAGCCAAAACTGATAAAGCAATATACTCGATTACCGACTGTAACTGACATTTGGAAAGCCTTGAAGGTTGCTTTATTTGATGAGAAGAATGAAATGCGAGTTTATACCTTGAGCATCTCACTTCCAACCAAATGGGAAGCCTGTGTCTACTTACTTTGGTGAAGTCACTGAAAATTTTCAGGAGTTAGATCACTACAGTAAGGTATCCATGAGTTGTGAAAAGGATATTAAGATTTATCAAGAATCATAGGAGCATCAATGAGTTCATCCTATCCTGGGAGGCCGTGATGATAAGTTTGAACAAGTTCGTGGTAAGGTTCTGCACAAATAACCAACCACGAGCCTTCAAGCATCCTATGCCTTTGTACGTCGCGAGTCAGACGGATGCTATAAAGGGCGAGGGGAAAAGAGGGAAGCGATGGTGGTTTGTAACCGTCCTTCCTCAGAACTGTCCAATTCATTTGGTTTAGGAGGTCGGCCTTATACTGATTCATCCAAATGCACTACGCATAGCAAGTGTGCCTATTGCAATCTTCTTGATCACTAAAAAGCCAAATGCTACGTGTTGGAAATTTTGAGTAGAATTTCATTGTCCCACATTGCTCACCACCATAAGGTTCCCTCACTTTATAAGACTTTGTCCCTTATAGAAAGTGATTAGAGTGATGGATCGTGAAGAATAAAATTAGGTTCATCCTTGGGGTTGTGAGCTTTGGGATGTGCTAATTAATTATAATTAATATATAATTAAACCCTTTAATTATATATTAATTATCAAAAGATGGGCCTTAGGCCTTTGGGCTCGGGCTTTAATAATTAAATACGTAAATGAATTATTTTCGGATTTAATTAATTATTTTTAATTATTTATTTATTTTATTTAATTAATTATTTTTAATTAATTAATTATTTATTTATTTTAATTAATTAATTAATTAATTAATTATTATTTTATCAACATACTCATCCTTTCAGATAAAGTCTGAAGTGTGAAAGAACGCAGAAAGAAAACACACATATGAGAAGATGTCTTCGAATACATACATCCTTTCCTCATACCTGTTGCGAACATGCATAATCATATTATATATACATCCATCTGCATGACATTTAGAACACAGAAAATCTAGATTATTCTTCTACAATCACAAATATCTTTTCTGAGAGAACCACACAGAAATTCGTCAGAAGTCAAGTTTTCCGGTGCTGGAATTCTGACTTGATCGTTGAATCCTGGTGAATCAGACGTCCGTAGAACTATAAGCACTGAGTAGGGATGAAATTTCTGTTTCAAGAATATTGCGGTACGCAAGCCTCGATCTTCAATATTTCTGTTAAATATTATCGCATTTCATACATAATTTGCATTTTATTATTTATTAGCATATATAAATTTTCAAATATATATATTCAAGAAATCCTCAAATATTATTTGATATGTAGAAATCTTGGAGAGTGGGATAACAGTGTGATCCGTGCCACAACAAACGACGTGCTGCATTGGGATGAACCAAATATTGTTTTATATTTGTTTATATATTACAAATTTTCAAATATATATATATACAAGAAATCCTCAAATATTATGTGATATGTACAAATTTTCCATGTTTAGTTCAACTGAAAATGCATTCCAATCATCGCGGGGGGGTCCAACTCCTACATTGAAGCACTTGTAGAAGATCCAACGGCAGGGTTTCGTGATCAATACGAGTGTTG